TTGCGTATGCGTTTTACCGTATGCGTCCTTGTGGGGCCCCAAACTATATCCGGTCACAGAGATCTGCTATTTTAAAGTAAAGTCAACACATATAGACCCTAAATATAGTCTATATTAAGAACGAGAAAAGTCTTAACATTTATATCCTTTTTTGTAAACATATGACAAATGTGTGAGGGTGATGACGTCAGAGCATCGTCCTATGTGCCAGGGCTGAGCCCGGACAGCCCCAGCCCAATTTAACCCCTGGGTATTTGTGAGGGAGCTCCTATATGGCATTAGCCCGCTGAAGCTCACCAAAGTTTAACATATTTCATAGTTCAAAGTTTTGTCAATTGTTTTGTTTATTGGTCAAATACTGGTTTCTAATGGTTTCTGAGGAGTTTTACTGGAATGAAAGAGCACAGAGTCTCCAGAAGCAAAAAAGCAGCATACTGCATTAAACCTGACCTTCACAGAGAGGTTGAAGTTCATGTGGAAAGGAGGCTTCAGTAGTCTGTCTGCACTCTGTTTAGTTTTGCTATCTTACAATCAATATAGTAAATGTGAGGTAAAGTGTATTGCCAATGTAACCGGTTAGAACTCAAAGTTGCGTTGAGGTCTTAAAATGTATGGAAAGGGTCTTATAAAGGTATTAAATTTGACTTCAGGATTCCTGCATATACCCTGGAGTAACAAGAACACCTTTCATGATGTTGATTAAATCATTCGTAGGCTGCGGTTTTAGATTTTTGTAATTTCTAGTATCGTGCAGCATATTCTTTATTGTGTATGTATTTTCTGTATGAACTTTACTTCATCTATATTCAATATATACTCTAGTTTTCTAAAATATATTTTTTATTCCTTATTATTTTCAGGTATGTCTTTTTTTGTATGCAGCAAAAACACATTCCTCGTATGTGTTAACCTACTTGGCAACAAACCTGTTTCTGATTTATTTAGCCAGCAGACTTTGATAGCAAAAAAGTGGTCACTGTCTTACACAATATCTGCATTTGTTGTTTCAATAATTATCCTCTGATTCAGACTTTATAACAAACATAACTTGAAATGTTATATTGTTTTCTAGCTAGCTTATTTTTAAATGAGTATAACACAACAAACTCACACCCTCTCTCAAAAGTTGCATCCATAGCTAAATAGGGCTTTAGTTTCTCATGTAACCAATGTTCACAATCATTTAAAAACTCCTGCAGGTTAACAGAGGGCCTATCCTGTAGCATATGCTGAGTGAAAGGTTTTGTCTTCTCTATTTAAAAACAAAATGTCAAATGGCTTGAGTCTAAACTTCCTGTGTGTGTGTGTGTGTGTGTGTGTGTGTAGCGTGTGCAGCAGTTGGACTTCTCTCAGCAGCTGTGTGACAGGCTGGAACAGCTGGTGTTGACCTTCGCCAGCTACAATCTCCTCTCGTTGGACGAGACTGAGCCTAACAGGTACACACACACAACACATTTGTATTCATCTTTGAGTATTTTGATAACATGTGTTGTGTGTTTGAGAACAAAAACATGACATAACAGAAAGTCAGAATGTAATGATTATATTTGGTTTTCCTTGGGTTTCCCCCCACACGACAGTATTTTGTATCATATCTGCTTACGAGCAGATTTAAGGATGCAAAAATAACACCTAACATACCTCACCCTGTTGTAACGGGGGATTTGGGCTTTGCTACAGGTCACAGATAAACCTTTAATTTATCATGGAAAGGCATAAAAGGGAAATTGACAGACTGCTTCTCGCTGTAAGACTTTCAGTATGCAATGGAAACAGTTGATGCTGGCAAGATGACTTTCTATATCCTGTGACTTGTTGCTGCTGTAACGATCAGATATCCTCTCACCTTCTAACTTTGTTTGCATTCGCAGTGTGTCTCACTTCTGCATCGGCCAGAGTCAGCTCGGCCCGCTGAAGGTGACAACGTTTCGCTACTGCAGGCCCACACGATACCTGGCCCAGGTCGACACCGGCCTGTTCAATCCTAGCGATTTGCTTGTCCCTGTCTTATGTTACTCATTACCTCACTGTGTTGGACTCTTGGTTGTGTAGTCTATAGTCTGTCGACTCTCTGTGTTTGTTTGGTTGACTAGTTCCTCACGGATCTCGTCGGTTGAGGACACAAGTCGTTCCCAGTTTAATGGTAGAAAAAATCTCAGACCGAATGGAGTCTATTTCATTATATTTTAGAAGTTAACAACACTGACTCGAAGCCCCGACGGCCTGGTTCAGTTAACCACACGAAATTGTCAGCGTAGCGAGTCTCTCCAGACGGGACCTGTGACGGCAGTTAGAGAGGCTATTTTTGCCTCCCGAGGACCAGCGTTCCGTATAAATCTCATAACACATGACGCGGACGCGGATTTGCACAACGACGACGGGAGTAGTAGCGAGCGCGGAGGCGAGGGAGCCACCCTATTGCCGTACAGCCACCAGAGTAGGTTCGATCCAGCCGCGAGAGAGCCGCCAGCGACTGACAGTTGGCGCCGTGGTCGCCACTTGGACCTGTCACCAGGAGGAGTTCATGGGCTGAGAGCTGGTGAGAGAGTCGCATATTAGGTCAACGGAGGATGTTTTCGGAAAGACAACATCTTCGTCGACGCTCCGCTCGATGGTACTATATTGTGCTTTTACGCGTTCATGTGCAAATGGTAAGCGTCTCACAGCCACGACAAAGCCCAAGCCAGCGGAGTGGCACATCTTGGTGTATCTGCCGGGGCCGACCTGGTGTAGCGAGCGTCCCAGTGGTAGTCTCTGTGGACAACAGGGAGCGAAACAGAGACGCACACGCACCTTACAGAGTTAGCGTGTCCCCTGCGATTCACTCATATCAGAGTATCCCTGTAGGATTTGTTCTTGTCCTTGGCTTGGGCAGAACTTATTTGTTGACGATACATAAACTTCTTTTACTCGCTAGACTACTTCCGTGCAGACATGCGGAAACCCAATTCTTTTTCGACGAATATCTTTCATATTACATAATAATACTACGTTATAGTCTCTTATGGTAAAATAGTTTGCTCACACTTATATAGTCGGTCTGAGTGATGAGACACAGACGGAGTGAGGAGAGGAGGGAGAGGAGGAGACCGAACGACGAGTAGACCCTCAGAGAGGTGCAAAGGTCGC